GTCCAGCGACATAGCCATTACGCTAACTGCTGGTTCCTTGCTGGTCCCTTTTTATTTTTATTTTAAAAAATTTTTAAGAGAGATTTTTCCATAGGATGCTTGTGCTTGCTGAAGAGAGAGGGAGAGACAGAGAGACAGAAAGAAATTAACCCCCAGAGTGATGGCCATGCCACAATCCCTTCTCCTTCATTCTATTTTGGGCATGCACACACATGTACTGGCGTGAGTTTCAAGCTACGGGATCCAGGACTTGAACTGCAATCGGCCATATGGGAGCCCAGTAATGTAACCATTATGCCATCTGCTAATCCCAATACATAATCATTCTTTTTTTGAGAGAGAGAGATTTTTGCTATAGGGCATGTACACTCACCGGAGAGATAGAGAGACAGAAAGCAAGAAATCATGGCTACTCTGCAATCTCTTCTCTGTTCTCCTCTTGGGATTTTGGGCATGTACTCACATACACACCCAGTGTGCTTTTTTTAAAAAAAAATTATTTATCTAATTTTATTATTATTTTTTAATTTGACCAGAGAGAGAGAGAAAGAGAGAGGGAAAGTAAGAATGCAAGCCACCAGGTTCAGGACTCAAACTGTGGTTGGCCATGTGGGAGTTCCACTCCCAAGCCACCATGACACCTGTCTTCACCCCCAACCCTCGCCCGTGTGAGTTTTAAGCCACCAGATCCAAGACTTGAACCACTACAGACTACAGAGTCCAGCGATGTAACCATTATGCCATCCGGTGGTCCCAATAATTCATTCTTTTTAAAAAAGTCACCCAATTATCGAACTGAAGTGCTGGGTAGTGTTCCTAAGTGAAAGAAAGCTGTTATGTAACTTACAGAAATAATACTTGATTAAATAAGTACCAAACAGGTATGGTTGTAGTGCTGTTGGTCATGTGTTCAATGCTAACTAATTAAGAATATATATTATAGAAAGTATCTTTAAGTGGGCACACACAAAAATCAAAGTTCTGTACTGATTGGTTGATGAAATATTGTGACCAGAGCTCACAGGAAACTAACTTTGTGTCTTTCCTGGGGGCAAAGATTCAGTATTTGCAAATTCAGTGTCTATAGTGACTTTATAGAACATGACAGTAACTTGTGAATAAGAATATTACCTATCAGAGATAAGGTCTGGACCAGGAGATGTGGTAGCCTACAGCTGAGGAATCTTGTAAAAGTCTATTGAAGCAAGTTTTTCCAAAAAGGTTTCTGCTACACAACAGATTTAGATACAACAGTGATCTGGCTTTGTTTACAGGTCCGTGTCCACATGCAGGGAGAAGAAGCACTCTTTTCTGAGAATATGCCCTTAAGACAAGTTATTGTTCATCTCACTAAACAGAAGGCTGCAGGAACCCCAATAGGAGAGACCTTGGAGACACCCTTCCAGACTCCCCAAGATACTCTCCTGGAGACAGGACAAGGTGAGTCAGGTGAATATGCACACCAAAGGGGTATTCTATGTGCACCCTTCTTGGGTATAACTTCATTGGGTAACTTCTTTATTTTTATAGGAGATGAAGATGAAGAAGTTGGCTCCAACATCTCTGTGAAAACTACTCAGGTAAATGATAGCATTACTGTTCAAGGCAGTCAGCTATCTTCTCTACTCATTATCCAGAAAGAGAACAGCCTTGGGCCTGATGACAAAGGTGTTTCTTGTGAGAACTCTCACAATACCCGCAGAGTGGGGCTAGGCACCTCTAGGTTCCAGGAAGAGACCCTGAAGGAACATTTTAATCAAGATTTCTCTTTGGAGGTGGAATCAGAGTTTCTTTGCAATCCAGAGCAGTCCTCCCCTGAGTCTGTCTCTACCCACCAGAACAATGAGAGGAACTCCACTTGTGAGGAACAGCAAGAAAGATTTCATGGACCCCCAAAACCATACAAATGTGGAGAATGTCCCAAGATCTTTAGGTATCTCTGTCATTTATCAGCCCACCAGAGAAGACACAGGAATGAGAGACCATTTGTTTGTACTGAGTGTCACAAAGGTTTCTTCCAGGCATCAGACCTAAAGATGCATCAGATAATTCACAGAAGAGAGAAGCCTTTCACATGCAGCATGTGTGAGAAGTCCTTCAGCCACAAAACCAATCTGCAAGCTCATGAGAGGATCCACACAGGAGAGAAACCCTATGTGTGTTCCCTGTGCCAGAGAAGTTACCGCCAGTCATCCACGTATCACCGCCACCTGAGGACTCACCAGAAAATTACCTTCAAAAGTGTTCCCTCCTCAGCAGAAGCTTCCTCACCTGTCGTCCTGATGTAATGTCTATAAATAAATGTGTGCATGTTGTACACCCCCCCCATTCCTCCATGAAAGAAAGAAATAAACTTTTAAAGAAGAAAAATCAAGGGACCAGCAGTTGTTCCCTCTGCAGTCCCTTCTGCACTTTTCCCACCCTGTGTGGATCTTGGGCATGCACTCTTATGCTCAACACACCAGACTTGTGTTTGAACTGCGTAGGTGGGCCATGTGAGATTACTGCCTCAACCACCAGGCCATGAGGCTTGCCTGCTTCACTCTCCTCTTGACTACCTGTTTCCTGACAAGAATTCTGCTCTAGTTCTCCTTTACAGGTAAATGCCCCCTTCCTCCCTCTGTAAAGGACATTTCTTTGGCTTTGGCTTTTTTGTTTTAATATGGTATCGGGGTGTATGTTTTTGATATTTATCTAGGTTCCTCTTCCCTGTGGTTTCTGGATCCTTGGTTGTGTGTCTGTGATGAATTTTGGACTGTTTTTGTACCACAGAACAAAGTTTGAATCTGTTACAAGGACCAGCAGTTGGTGTAATGGCTATGTCGCTGGACTCCCATGTAGTCGACTGCAGTTCAAGTCCAAAGACCCAGTGGCTTAAACTCAAGCTGGGCGTGTGTGCGTGTGTGCCCAAGATCCTGAGAGGAGAATGGAGGAGAAGGGATTGCAGCATGGCCATCCCCCCTGGGGGTTGATTTCTTGCTTTCTGTCTCTCTGTTTTTCTAGCAAGCACACAGGCCTTATAGCAAAAACCTCTAAAAAAAAATAAGTCTTTTTTTAAAAAAAGATGAAAAGCCTTCAGATTAAGCTGTGTTTTATGTTGAGCATGTAGTCTCCCTCCTGACCCTCCCCTGTGGGAATTGTGTCCACATTTTTATCTGTTCTTCCCCACCTAATCCCTTCTTCTTACTCTACTTTATGCCAGCACTGTTTCTTTCTTCCCTTTCCCCTGATGGGAACAGTCACTCGCTGCCAGAAAAGTCAAACTTTGAACCATGAATTTAGTCACCTTGTAGTCTGTCAAGGAGAAAGGCTTTATTTAGGGGGACATTATCTGAGACAGGTTTGCTTAAAAGGCCACTGCCTGGAATGTGTTTGGGGATAGACATTTCTAGAGAAACACTTCTCACCCAGGTTTTCAACCAAGTGGGTGTATGCAAGCAAAGGATTGAAACTTGGGACCAGCAGATGGTGTAATAGATACCTTGCTAGACTCCCATGTGGTCAACCACGGTTTGAGTCCTGGACCCCGAGGCTTAAAAGCTTAGGCAGAGAGCTTGTGCATGTGTGCCCAAAATCCCAAGAGGAAAGTGGAAGAGAAGGGAGTGGGGCATGGCCATCCCCTCTCCACCCGTGGGGTGATTTTTTTGTTTCTGTTTTCTGTCTTTCCATCTCTCTGGTGAACGCACATGCCCTATAGCAAAGTCTGATTGGTCCCGCTGCTAAAGCTAATATCCTCACTCCCACCTTGCTCTTCTCATCATTTCCCTGCTCATCTTCCTTCTCTAAAAACAAACAAAAAGCAATAAAACAGCAACAAACCACAATAATCTATGTAGTAAAGAATTAACCTAGGTGGCACTGGATTCACATGGGCAACTGCATAGTTTGAGTCCTAGACATGGTGGCTTGAAAAGTATGCTGAGCGCATTTGTGTGGTTGTCCAAAATCCTACGAGGAGAATGAAGGAGAAGGGATTGCAGCATGGTCACTAAATAAAGGAAAATAATGAACTTTATTACGAGCTCTGGCCCGGCCTTTGCTTTGGCTCTTAAGAGTTGATTGCCAGGGCCCAGCAGATAGAATAATGGTTATGGCACTGGATTCCCACATGATTGACAAGATTTGAGTCCTGGACCCAGAGGTTTGAAACTCACACCAGGCACATGTGCATGCATGCCCAAAATCCTGAGAGGAGAATAGAAGGGATTGTGGGCCCAGCAGTTGGTGTAATGGCTATGTCACTGGACTCCCACATAGTTGACCATGATTTGCGTCCCAGACCCGGTGGCTTAAAGCTCACTCACACTGGGTGCTTGTGCGTGCATGCCCAAGATCACAAGAGGAGAATGGAGGAGAAGGGATTGTGGTGTGGCATCCCCCCTGGGGGGTGATTTCTTGCTTTCTGTCTCTCTATCTGTCTGGCGAAGACTCATAACAGAGCCTGTCTCAAAAAAAAAAAAAAAAAAAAAAGAGGGGATTGTGGCGTGGCCATGCCCTGTAGGAGGTGATTTCTCAATTTCTGTCTCTCTTTTTCTCTCTGTCTTGGTGGTGGCTTGCTCTCTCTCTCTCCCCCCCAAAAAAAAAAAAAAAAAAAAAGGGGGGGACCAGCAGATAGCATCATGGTTAAGGTGCTGGACACTCCCACCTGGGTGACTGTGGTTCAAGTCCAAGACCTGGTGGCTTGCTTTTTCACTTTCCCTTTCTCTCTCTGTCTCTTTCTGGTCATATTAAAATAAATGAATGAATAAATTAAATTAAATTTTAAAAAAATTCTAAAAACAAAAAAAATAGGGCCAGCAGGTGGTGTGGGAGTTAAAAACGCTGGATTCCCACATGGCCAACCGCAATTCGAGTCCTGGATCCAGTGACTTGCTATCTCACTTTTCTCTCTCTGGTCAAATTTTAAAAGAATAGCAAATAGAATTAAATAAATAAATCATTAAAAAAAAAGAGATGACTGCCAAGAGTTTAGTATTCTGCCTAGTAAGAGTGTCTTTGTTGGGGGACCAGCAGTTGGTGTAATGGCTATGTCGCTGGACTCCCATGTAGCTGACTGCAGTTTGAATCCTGGACCTGGTGGGTGCCTGTGTGCATGCCCAAGATCCCGAGAGGGAAATGGAGGAGAAGGGATTGCAGTGGTGCCATCCCCCCTGGGGGATGATTTCTCACTTTCTGTCCCTCTGTCTCTCTCTGTCTTTCTGGCAAGCGCATACACCCTGTAGCAAAAACCTCTCGAAAAAAAAAAAATAAATAAGAGTGTCTATGTTAGGCCAACAGAAGTGTGAAGGTTAAGGCAACTGGATCTCACATGGCCAACTGTGAGGTTCAAGTCCTGGACACAGCAGCTTGAAAAACACAGAAGGTGGGTATGTGTGCATCCCCAAAATCCTGAGAGGAGAATGAAGAAGGGATTGCAGCATTGCCATCCCCTACTGGGGGATGCTTTCTCATTTTCCTTCTCTCTCGCTCCCTGTCTCTCTCTGCTGAATGCACTCACCCCATAGCAAAAAAAAAAAAAAAAAAGTATCTTTGTTTATTTGAAGACCTTGGGCCAGTCTGGTAACGAGCCATATTCTACCAGATCAATCTCTAGAGCAGTTAAAGCCCAAGCATGATATTTTTACCCTTGGTTTACAGGTTGCAAAACAGTGTTTTTCTTCCTTCATGGTCTCTTTCATGTCACTAAGTCTCAGGCAGGATGAAAAAGTTTTCTTCTTCCATCAAAATAAATGTGTCCTGGGATAGCCCATAGTTGGGTAGTTAAAGAGGCTGAATCCCACATGGCCAACTGCGCTGTTTGAGTCTAGGACCTGGTGCCTAGAAAAACACACTGGGTACAGGTGCGTGCGTGTGTGTCTAAAATTCCAAAGAAGAGAGAGATGGAGGGGAAGTGATTGTGTTGTGAACATTCTCTATGGGAAGTGCTTTATCACCTCTCCCCACCCCCACCCTGCTGGGACCATGCAGTTAACACAAGCTGAGTATGAAAGAACTGCCCCTCAGGCCTAGAGCAAGGACTCGGCTGAGAACTGTTTGCAAGGTCAACAGTTTTACGAGTTCTGGACCTCACCTTCATTGTGTTACTGTACTGGCCTGCACTCAGTTTCTCTGCCATGGGCCTTATTGCCATAACCCGGTACCCCATAAAGGCACCCCCAGCCTTATTATAACTTTTACAATAATCTTGAAAGAATGTGGATCCACTAAGGTGGCAGCTGCGTAGGGCGGTGGCTGCGAACAGGAGTTACTCCCATTAGACTCATCCCACCCTCCTGGAAAATGTCAATAAAGAATGCTACATTCACTTCTCCTACTGGGGATTACTAATGGGCGAAGGATCTCAGTAGCCAGGAGGGGCTCAGAGACTCATCCATGAGATGCTGTTACCCCAAAGACCATAAGCCACCCTTACTCTCAGGACAAGGGAAGATTGCCATTCCCCAAGCCACGGTCATTGTATAGAGCAGCATGTAGAGAGTCCCAAGTACACAGTAACCTTTAGCTACTCACAAGACCACATTCCTTTCCTATGTAGACTACCCTCTTAGCTGTAGACTACCCCAGAGATAACATAAGTATTTCACTTTAGTATATACTAACCTTGTCTTTACTAAACCAGACAGAATTTATTTCTAGGCTCTTGTAATTACTGCCACCCTAGCCTGAAGCTGAAGTTCTCAAAAGCTGACCCGAGGCTCAAAATTCTTAAGCCAATCTGGGACTAAAGTAATTAAGCTGGTTTGGAACTAAAAATTCCTGGAAACCCTCTCATCCAAAGACCCTCCCTGGTAATCAAGATCTAAGAAGAAGATGCACC